TTTTAAACCTTTATTCTTTTCTAACATAAGAATTTAAATTTATAAATTTTCTTCTGTTTTCTGTTTAGCTGCATTATGCAACTTTTGCTATATGTCATTATCAATAAGTTTGAAATATTTTCTAACTTTCCCTGTGATTTATTATTTGATCCGTAGATTATTTATGTAAATTTTGTTCAGTTTCCAAATGTTTAGGGCTTTTCATGGCATCTTGTTGTTACTGTTGTTCAAATTAATTCTGTTTTAGTAATATTATATATTCTGTAACATTTCACTCCTTTTGGAATTTGTTGAGATATAATTTATAAGCAACCACACACAAAAATGCCCTGTCCGCTCCTTGTGGCTTTCCAAGTCCCCATGTGACATTATCAACAGGCTCTAAGTTCCCTCACCCAAAGGATGAGAAAGAGCCCACATTTTGTCAATCAGGGGAGAATCTCATTTTCTCCCCTTTACACTTCCACAGAGGAAGGCTTTTCTTCTCACCACAAGAGGAAACATGGGAGTGAATATTTCTCTTTCCTCTCCCCTTCTCCCCTTCTTTTCTTGCTTTTCCATATAGGAAGAAGGATCACTAATACGTTTGAAAAGATCATTGGAAGCAATCACTGCAATGATATGAAACTCTACCATTGCTCTACCTGTCTGTTTCGCTGCCTGCCTCATGGCTGTGTAAGGATGGCAGTGGGTTATTTTGCTTTATACTCAAATACCATAACCTCACCTGCAAAAAAGCCTATAATTTGCTTTCCAGGGAGAGAAACCTAGAAGACAGCCATTCTGTCTTTGCCTTTTATGTTTTGGTAGGGGCTCTGTTTATGGGGTCCTATAGTCCTCCATGCAGATGACTGGCGTATTGTACTTGAAGCCTAATTTTCCAGATCAAATCTCCTCATGGGTGGGTGAAGGGAGGAGGAAGAAATCTTAAGATCTAGAATTAAGGGAAGGGAATTGAGGTTCTCTTCTTTGTCTCCTGGTCCCAATTGTATTTTCCAGCCATGAATAACCAGAAAGTCCTGTATACAGAAATTACTGGGTTCTAAGTGTTATGATTTTGAGTCCTCTTTAATTCCTTGTGGTCATTTGCTACTGCCAAGAGTGTAAATGGGATAGTGAGAAATCTGCACTTTTAATCTCCAACAGCACTCCTGAGCTTCTTCCTCTCAAAAAGGTACCCCATCTCTTCCAGGTAGAAAAGGTACTAATTCTGTAACAGGAGATCTGTTCCCCTAGTCCTACACAGAAAATAACACTAAAAGTTATTAAAGGAAAAAAATGAACACTCACTGTAGTGGTATCAATTTTGTGAATTCACTGATTAAATATTTCTCATCACAAATAATTATTAAGGGTGCATATTATGTTGAAAAATGACAGGCACTTGGTAATGAGAAGTACATGGAAGACATTTGAATCCTGCTTCCCTGAAGCCTACAACCTAGCATAAAAAATATACACAGTACAAATAATATCACAAATTTAATTATAATTGTGATTATTCCAATTCAAGATGTTCGACTGCAAACACGTTTTATGTCCTCTGTCTCCCAATGTACCCATTAAATTGCTAAAGAAATATAAAAATAATGCAGCAACAATACCAGAACATAAGCAAATATAGTTGGATTGCATCATATACTTTGAGAAATTTTTGGAATTCATAAATTAGACTAGATTGTATTTATAGAAAAACTGGAATGCAGAAACCTGCAAATCATTTGTAGGTATGTATATGTGGATAGTAGGAATTATTAGGGGAAGAGGAATTGGAAAAGTTAAAGCTTGATGAAGGACTAGAAAATGTTCTCATTAAGAGATTCAGGGTGCAAACCTCATCATTTCCCAATATATCCCTGCCTGTATCAAACTTGGATGTGTAACCCCTGAATCTATTTTTTAAAATTAAAAATTTAAGAGATCCAAGAGATATTCCAATTTCAAATCAATAAAATAACAGCAATTGAAAGCAATTAATTATTGCATTGATTAGTTCATTATTCTACTACTGGAGCAATTGAGTCAGTCTAGCATGAAACTTGGCTCCCTATAAAATGAAAGAGTTGACTTTGTATCTCTAAACCCTGTGATTGCAGTGGAGCAGATGTAATCAGGCGCAATTGCAAGGTAACTTTGGTTCTCCAAGTCAGAAATAGAGAAAATGTATGGAGAGGCAGCTCCACAGGTTGGCAAACTATACCAGATGTCTCTGATTGCAGATATAAAGGCTTCTCTACTTCAGCAAAAGATGAAGGAATCCAATTCATCTTTCATTTTCCTCTTGACAACCTGAGGGGTATTCTGTCTGTTAGTAAATCCCTGTACAATGACCTACGAAGTCCTACAATTGGGGCACAAGAGCAGTGACCTTCACAGGCTCTTAGAAAACTCACAGCAATGACACAACTATTTCATTCTCATCTATGAACAAATAAGAGTAAGAATTTATAAATAATTGAGATAAACTACCATCATGTGAAGAAAGGACTAAGCTAAACAAGCAAAAACAACTCATCCCTTAAAGAAAAGAGTAAATACAAGAAAGTCGTTTATAATAAGTATAGTAATATTTTAGAAATGTCCTAATTTATTCATTTTGAGGTGGCAGAAAAGTAAAGGAATCTAAATCATCATAAAAGATAAGAAAAGGTTAATCCAGGCCCAGCGCAGTGGCTCACGCCTGTAATCCCAGCAATTTGGGAGGCTGAGATGAGTGGATCACCTGAGGTCAGAAGTTCAAGACCGGCCTGACCAACATGGAGAAACCCCATCTCTACTAAAAATACAAAATTAGCCAGGCATGGTGGAACATGCCTGTAATTCCAGATACTTGGGAGGATGAGGCAGGAGAATAGCTTGAACCCGGGAGGAGGAGGTTGCAGTGAGCCAAGATTGTGCCATTGCACTCCAGTCTGGGTGACAAGAGTGAACTCCATCTCAAAAAAAGGTTAATCGAAAGGGTTAGCACTGGCATTTAGCTGAATGGCTGTACCACATAAATGTTGAAATGTTTTCACAATATTTGTAAATGTCTAGCATAGGTGATCAAGGCAAACAGAAAGCACACATAAACAATGTTAGGAATGAAATAGAGTAGACTACAGACACAGTAGAAAATAAAATATAATTAAAAATAAGATAAACATGTTTCTGATAGTAACTTTAAATGAGAGAAAAAGATTTTTAAACAAATAGATACAGCAAACACTTACAAAAGGAAATTCTAAAAGATATACTTCAGACAGAAGAATACACATCCTACTTGGAAAATCTGAGATGGAACACTTTTACAGTTTAGGCTATAAGTTGGTCTGTTGCAATGAAGATTCCAAAAATATAGTAGTTTTGTTAAAACACAAGTTTATTTCTGTCTCAGATTAAAGTCAGGGTTGGCGGCCCAGACAGTGTCAGGAACACAGCTTGTCCGTATCATTGCTCTGCCATTTTCAACTCACATTTCTATCCTGTAATCCAAGAAAGCTCCCTCAGATCCCACCATCAAGCATCAGCAAGTAATATAAATGCAAAGAAAGGGCAACGAACTACTTGTTACAGCCTACCAAAATGAAGTTTAGACTCTCTAGGGTCAAGAAAGTTTATTCCAATATATATGACACACCATAGCCTGAGTTTCTCAAGAATACCTTACCAAACCTGGTAAGTCTAAGTCCCACACCTGGAGTTAAGCTGATGAGAATGTGTAATTCCTCTTGCAATGAGAACAGTTCACTCCCTAATTCATTCATATGCACCAACCAAATTAAAAGTATAATACTTTGTTTCTCATACAGAAAAGTATTTTACTGAGAGTAAAATTTACAAAGAAAGGAGAAAGTAGAAAGACCTAATTACCTAATCCCACCACTGTTACCAATATAAAATCCCAGGATAAGATATTCTCATCACCTGAGCATCTTACCTCAAAATAGCAATGACTTCACCTCTTCCAGGACTAAACAAAATATGTTAACTTTTAAGAACAAAGAAGAGTCAAGCCAGATCTTAGGGCCACATCTAACAGACAGCATGCAATACACCAATAGAGACAGTCCTCTTATAAGTTCTTACCCAGTTCCTATGAACAGAAATGAAAGATCTAATTGACATCACTCTATATCTACTATTTCAGAAGGAGAGACTGAAACTCATTTTTTAGTGGCATGACTACTTATTTATTTATTTATTTATTTTTAAGACAGGGTTTCACCATGTTGGTCAGGCTGGTCTTGAACTCCCGACCTCAGGTGATCCACCCCCCTTGGCCTCCAAAGTGCTTGGATTACAGGCGTGAGCCACCACGCCCAGCCCGATTTATTTATCTCTTAAACCTATGTTTGCCAACACCAAAATCTAGCACATTTTATGGTTATTGGATGCTAATAATTACATGGCTGCTTTTATTCCATGTAATTATTAATACCATATATACATATACACACACACACACACACACACACACAAACACACATATAGTAAGTATAGTAAGCCTATATATATATATATATATATGCAGTACTTGTTCTTATTTCCTCTTTACCCAAAGCAAACATATAAATAAATTTAAAATTACAAATAAATAAATAATTAATAATAATAATAATAAAAATAATAAAAAATCCTATTATTCCTATGATGTATTATACTACCTACCCCATGTGTTTTGTTTTTTTTTAAATGAATAACACCCATATTACAGTGAAAGGTATTTTCTCATGTTGTGGTCTTCTCAGCTGTTATGCAGAAACCCTACTCATATGCAGGATTTCAATGATCTGGGGCTGCCAGCACAAACTAGAGGTTTGGAAGACGCTCTAAACCTAAAATCAAGCAGAGGGTGGGACTTTCCATTGCATTTTCAGAGAATGTTGCATGGTCTATCATTGGACATCAGGAAAGATGACTCATCCAGAGCTGTCATCCATTTCTCCTGTCCTTGAGTCTCTCTGACACAGGAGTAGGAAAATGTTGGAATCAGGAGCAAAAGAAAGAATGGAAAAACTATTCACAAATATCCAGGTATACAGGTATATCCAATAAGCTGTGAAGCCAAGTGCCTCTGGATAGTCTTTGCTGTGATATGAGGGACACTAGAAGGACTAGTAGCTGTGAAAATTACTCCTATCCATATAATCTGCACCAGCCATGAGTTCCTGGCTGTGTCAGTGGCAGGAGCCTCTGGAGAAAACTATGAGAATATGTTCAGATCAATTCTTTTGGGTAAACACCCCGAGCACTCGCTGGCGGATCTGCTGAGTCTTCACCCCATAGACAAGAGGATTGAGTGCAGGTGGCACGAGGAGATACAGTGTGGCCAGAAGAACATGAACATGATGGGGTACATGGTGGCTAAAGCGGTGAGTGAGGAAGGAGAACATTCCGGGGACATAGAAGATGAGAATCACACAAACATGAGATCCACATGTGCCAAAGGCCTTAAGTAGGGCCTCACTCCCTGGTACCTTCAGCACTGCCTGGAGGATGTAGGCATAGGAAACACCAATGGCCAGGACATCCAGCCCAACCACAAGCAAGGCCACAGTCAGTCCATAAGCTCGGTTCACCGTGGTTGCTGAGCAGGCAAGTTTCACAACAGCCATATGTTCACAATAGGCATGGCCTATGACGGTGGCCTGGCAGAAGATAAGTTTTCGCAACAGAATGGGGAAGGGGATGAGGAGTAGTATTCCCCGCACCAGCACTGCCATTCCAATGCGTCCTATGACCCCTGGATGCAGGATCGTGGAATGGTGCAAGGGGTGACAAATGGCTACATAGCGATCCAGGGCCATGGCCACAAGTACCCCCGACTCCATGGAGGGGAATGCATGGATAAAGAACATCTGAATCAGGCAGACAGTGTACCCAATCTCATGGGCGTGAACCAGGAGCACTGCAAGGGCTTTGGGTGCAGTGGAGGAGGCCAGAACCAGGTCGATGGCAGCTAGCATGGACAGGAAGAGGTACATAGGTTGGTGCAAGGAGGAGTCCATCCAGATGATGAAGAGAATGGTAACATTGCCCACTAGAGCAAGGAGGTAAAGGATGCCCATGGGCAGTGCGATCCAGTGCTGGCTTTCCTCGAAACCCGGAACCCCTACCAGGAAAAAAGAAGGCTGGGGTAGCCTCTGGCTGGAATTGCTAAGGGCCATTATCAATGACTTGAAGAGGAAAGAGAAAAAAGAAACCAAAGTCATGATTTCTGCATTTCTGCTACATTATCACATAGTCCAGATCACATTGTCTACCATTCTTCGTGAGAAGAATAAAGTGACTAAAACTGCAACCAAAGGGAATAAAGTCAGATACAAGAAGTAAATCTTCGATGGAGATAATTTTTTTTACAGGTGAGACATCCATATGTCTGAATTACAATAGGTCTAGTTTTGTTTAGAGATAAGAGTAAACATACACTGTTTTGGGAGAGTTGCATAAGCTTTAACCATTCAGTTGCTTGTGTTTTGAAACTGTCAACTTCAAAGGGTTTTCTTTCTTAGCCTCTTGGCATTACCGAACTGTAAGTTAAACTGTTAGCCTGAAATTAGCCTCCCTCAGTTTCCATGGCATGGCACTCTAGAGTTGTTTCTCCTGTGGCCTCAGTCCCACCATTTTCTCCATCTCATTATGTCGTTGATTCCAGGGATCCATCCTCTCCTCTCTTCCCTATTCAGTACATAATCTCTGAATTGACTTCATCTATTTTCATGGTTTTAACTATTTTTATTTCTTTCAAATCTATGTTTCTAAGTCAAATCTCTTTCTGAAATACAAATTATTCTTTTTGTTTGCTTCCTGAATAGCTATACCACAGCCTCAAAATATTCAAGTCTAAATTAATCATCTATCCTTCTTAAATCTGCTCTACCTACTTTTGGCAACATTTTTATGAATTACGTCACTACCCATCTACCAAACCCAATCTAGAAACTTGAAAACTATCCTTACTTATTCTTACCTCTCATCCCTTTTCCCTATTCACCAATTCCTGTTAACTGTACTTTTAACACCTATTATATCCACTCCTGTTCTCAACACCCGATGTCAAACATCCAACTTCTCTCACCTGGACTGTTTCATTACATCTCTCTGCCTTTGCTGTAAACATCCTCCCAATTCACTTTCAACCTTTAAGTCAGGTCTTTCCTAAAATGCAGATGTCATCATGTCACTCCTATGGCTAAAATCCTTCAGCGAATCTATTGCATGGAATAAAATTATACTCTTAAGATTATATTAAAGGTTTTCAAAGGTTATCTATTGTGTATTATTTTAGTCTTACAGTTAACATATTTCTACATTTATGTTTTACTAAAGCATTCCAACGTTCTTGGAGCTATATGACTAAACTATCCTATTTTACACATGCCTTCTGTGTAATCTTTCTTCAGTTTCCTTTATCTGAATTGGTCTTCCTCACTCTTCAAAATTTGGAGTCTACTGTCTTCTTCTGCTCAAAAGGACTCATTGGGTGTGTTAGGTCAACATGGTCAGAAGCACTGTATCTTATGATCCTTCTTTGTTCATCCACATCTTTCTGCCTTATCTCTATCATAGAAATCCTTTCAGCATCTTAATGGCTTGTTTTAAAGAACCGTATCTCATTAAATTTCATGATTATAAGCTGGCATGGTGGATGCTTCACAATGCAGTGTGATAAATACAAACTTTGTGAGCAGACAGAGTTAGTTTAAATTCTGCCCATTTCATATTCTAGGAATAAAGTCTCGCTAGGCTTCTATAACTCTCCAAGTCTTGATTTCCTTATCTCATAGTAGAATAAATAATATCAATCTTATAGATTTATTATAAATATGAACTAATGTATGTAAAGTCTTGATATATAGGTTACTTTTTAAAGTATAGTCTACAAATCTTTTTTAGCATTACTAATAAAAGATGATTATGGGATCTTAGTGATCTTTTATGAGGTTGGTGCAATAGTAATTGTGATTTTTTGCCATTGAAAATAATGGCAAATATTTTTGCAATATTGTTAATGTTTAAAAAGATAACTATAATTATCTGGCCTTTCTTCTTTGTCTTTATGATTCTGCTTCTCTGTTTCAAACTTTTGATATGTTTACCTCTCATCATAATGTTATAGCATGGGGTGTCTCTGACACTCCATGTTAACAAGAACTATCGAATAAACAGTTGTCTGTTTAGCCTTCTCCACGGGATTCACCCCTCAAGTATTCACCCGTCAAGTATTAAAACAAAAAACTTGCAACTGGTTACATTTGTGTCTGTATGTTTATCTTAAAAGACAGTGTTGTCTGAAACAACTACATTTTTCTTTGTTGGAGTAGTGGTTCATGTACATGTACATGTGAAGATTTTTTAAAGTCAAGAATGACTCAGTTCTTGTGGATTATGCACCTTTATATCACTCAGTGTGTCTTTTTCACAAATCAATGTTTTGGGAATACCGTATTGCCCCCAAACTCTCCATCTAATAGCTATAAATTCTGAAATTCCAGGTGGGCATAATTCTACCAGCCTTTGTCTTTCTTCAAGAGCTAACTTAAAATAATAATGACATTTTTATTGAGACCACCAGAGAAATCTCATACTCTTGCAAAAAATAGATAAATAAATAAATAAAATCACTTTTCAATGCTTAATATTCCACATACTGTGAAAGTTAATTCTCTTTCTTAGCTCTCCCCTTCTGTTACAAGCTTCAGCTCATTTCTCATTTTATAGCTAAGTTGGAGAACAGCTATGTGTTTGTGGAAGGCACCCATGGCCTTAACAGAAGCAGTGTGAATAGAGCAGTGAGACTGAAACCGTACTATAGAAGGTGAAACAGAGGAGCAGAGACACATAAACCTGAATATTTTATAATCTGGTGCTTTTTTGTGCTGCATGGCTTGTGAGATTAGAGCAAAAGCCTATGGCTACTTATTAAGGGCTAATTATTCAAGTAAATAGGAGGTCCCTCTGTGATTCTTAGAAGAAAAGCAGAAGGGACTTTATTCCCAAGAATCTAAAAGTGAAGCTCTATTTAGTTCTCTAACCAGAAAGCAGGGGACAATTGAGCAAAGAGCTGATGCTGTTGAACTAGTATTTATTCATCTAAATTCAATCTAAGCAAGCTATTTTCTGTGAAGTTGTGCTTGAATTCTGTTAAGACAGCATAACGTGTCTCCTTTTCTTTCCTTTTGTAATGTCTTTATTGCTTTGTCATTACATGATGATCTTGCACTTTAGAAAGCAGGGACTACGCTTTGCTTACCACAGCAGCCCTAGGGCAAGCTCTAGAAACACCTAAAATGCAGTCGGTAATCAGTAATGTTGGCAGAATAAACATCCATATGACTCAATTAAATAATAAATAAATGTCTTAAAAGACTGGAAATCATGAAAACTTGATAAGGCAGAGACTGAATTTAAGAAATAACATAGCAGACACTGGTGTTGCCATCTGAGGGGATTATTGATTGAGTGTCGATAGTCCTCACTTTAAGTGATGCTCTGAGTGCTTCATGGAAGAAAGATCCCTGCTGAATCATCACTATCCTGCATGCAAAGAAGTGATAAAGAAATCCTAAGTGTGTCAGAAATAAAGGGATTCCTGTGGTCACTGGTAGGCACTTCTTCTACTCCTAGCAGGCAGGGAGGCCTCTGTGGGATGTGACTTGTCTCTCTCTGTCTTTAATCTCCTTCTCAGCAGTGGCCTGGACTTTCTGATAGTCGGGAAAAAAGGAGGCAAGAACATAGGCAGAAAAAGAGTAGGGGAAGACACAGAAATAGTGGGTTCATGATAATGACCTAATTAGAGAGGAAGATACAGAAATCAAGCAGTAAGAGGCAGAACTCCACTGCACAAATCTGAGACACATAATCAATACAGTAAGCCTGGTACAGGGCACTGTCCTCCCGGTCTCTGGACTCTTTAAGGATGTGCCCTTTAACGTCTTGGGTCAGCCCAGCTGGGCACGGTGGCTCACGCCTGTAATCACAACACTTTGGGAGGCCAAGGCAGGTAGATCACAAGGTCAAGAGATCAAGACCATCATGGCCAACATGGTGAAACCCCGTCTCTACTAAAAATACAAAAATTAGTTGGGCATGGTGGCACGCACCTGTAGTCCCAATTACTTGGGAGGGTGAGGCAGGAGAATCGCTTGAAGCCAGGAGGCAGAGGTTGCAGTGAGCCGAGATTGCGCCACTGTACTCCAGCCTAGCAACAAAATGAGACTCCATCTCAAAAAAATTAATTAATTAATTAATTAATTAAAGTCTTGGGTCAGCCTAGAGGGAGACTCAGCAACACAGAGAGACTTAGGAATGGGAGAAAATTCCTAGACTTGGGAAGGCTCCACTACAGCCCTCCCTGCTCATCTCCAAGAGCACCCTGAGTTCCCTGTTCAATCCCCGCAATGGCCTTCTGCCCTAACTTGTGTGTAACAATGATGAAGAGGACGTTCTATTCAGAAGTGCTGCATTGCCGTCTCTAAATGCCAGAGAACATCAAATACATCATCCCTAGAGGTCTGTACAGCTAAACTTTCCCAAAGATATGAAACATGTGTACTAGTTCTGACAAGACTTGGGTAAATGAGGCAAATCAACTGTATCTACATGCATGGTATGTGATGGTGAAGATGCCACCTAGGACCATGCTAAATGGTCCTGTCAATGCCTCAGCCTGATCATGAAGCCTTAAAGATATTGGTAGGCATCTGTAGGCACACAAGTTAACTTGCAGCAATGAGCTCTCCCCTAATCTCTCTCCGTCTGTATTCTTCCTCATCTTTCTGTTTTCCCCACTGTCATAGAGTCCAGGCCACTGTTAAGGAGGTTAAGGATAGAGAAATAGGTCACATTTCATAGAAGAGCCTCCGTGCCTGCTAATGTCTGAGTCGAAGAAACTAGGAGGAGAGGCTTCATTTTGAGAAGTCAGGCCTGGAGAGAACAACTACTCTAACTCGGGGGAAATAAACTTAAGACTATGAAGAAGAGTCAGACCAAAGGTATTGGGAGACTCAGAGCCACACTAGCCAAGACAAAAAATAACCCCTGTCACAAGGGCTATGAAAAGGGCAGAGGTCAGCTGGCTACAGTTTTTCCCCAACCATAGGCCCCCAAACTGACCTCATTTTTCACACCTGAATTCCTGTGCACCAGGGGTTGCTGGTTCTATCATCATCACCCCAAAAGGAACAGTCATTCTTGACACTTTCCCAAGGCAGCAATGGTGACTGTGAGCAAGGCACTGGGCAGGCAGGATGTTATTACCAACCTGCAGGTCCCAGAGGACTCACAGACACACATGGGCAAAGCCAAAATTAATCCCTAGATTGACTGGAGGGGCACAGAGCTGAAGATACAGCCCACAGGGATGGGTGACTGGGCAGAGAGGCCGATCAGGGAGAGGCTCCTGCACCTTACCAGGTGGCCCACATCTGTTCAGTGTTGGTCATTAGCCCTAAGCCTGTACCTCCTGATGGTGCTAGGAAACATCCTGCAATGAGCTGGGAATTTTCACCTTGCTCTGTGAGCTCAGACTTCTCATTCTCGCAGAGCAATCTTAGACCCCAGGAAATTCTTTAGTGAATGCCATGGTTCAATGTGCTATTCCTCCAGGTGCTAGGAGTGTTGGCTTCTGGAATTTCATAACTAAGTCACTCTTCTTTGGCCAAAGAGAGCAGTCTCACCCAAGGTTACTTTTCCTTCCCCAAGCAACTCATAGCCAATGACTGGTGATATAAGAATACAAAGTCCTGACCCCCTTTCGTCATCTTAAACAACACTGAGAAGTCATTTCAGTTCAGGAGGTCCCATTGGGTTAGCTAAGGTACCTAAGACAACTCGATTATAGTTTAATTTCTTCTGCCCATTTCACTCCTCTCACTCCATGACAGTCATTGTTACCATGTATACACCACAATAAACTTCCTGCATGCAAATCTCTGTTCAGAGTCTGTTTCTGAAGAAGCCAACCTAAGACAAATATTGCCTGCTACAGGTGAGTTGAGCAGTTTGCTTCTCCTGTGTAGGGCTGTGACAAACCCAGGGGCCTCAATCCCAATGCCATGGTACATGTGGGACAAATAGGGTTTCTCCAACAGTCCATCCAAGGAAGTTCACAATGAGATGGGCTGAGGCCTCCTTATCATATTTTCCCATCATAATTAGATCCTTCTCTTAGTCCCATCTCTGACTAAAGCAGCTTCCCACTCCAGCCAGTGGCCACATTCTCCTTGGGAACAATGCTTCCAGTGCACAGTCCTTCCATGCATCCAGTCAACAAGAATCTCATTCACAGCTTGTGGGGAGCCCCATTTATTGATTTATTCAATAAATATCAAATATACACTAATTCCATGTATTCTATTAGATGCTGGAAAAAACAAACGATATGATAAAATGGTTCTCATGGGATGATATATGTTAAGTATATGATCATAGAATTAATAACAGTTAATAAGTGTTATATATTAAAACTATGTTTTAAAAGCATATAATAAAAGGACCTCCCCAGTGTGGGGAGTTCAGGAAAGCCCTCCTTAATTTAAGTTAGTGACCAGAAGACTTGGTTAAAGTGAAGGGCGGTATGGAGATAGGCTGAGTGTACAAACCATGAGCAGGAGAAAAGGGACCCTGGTATTTTCAAAGACCTGAAAGAATTTTTAAAATTAGAGATTGTAGTAGTCAGGACTGAGCCTGGAGTATAAGCAGGAACCAAAGCATACTAGGTCTTCTACGCCATGTTAAAGGGCCATGGAAATCCACGCAGGATTTTAAGCAGAGGACTGAGATACGATCAAATCTCATTAACAAAACGACATCCTAGAAAAATGGAGGCGACAAGGCTAAGCATGATGGCAGGAGATGTTCAGGGAAGAAAATTCAGTGATCTCTACAGAAGTTCAAAGATGTGTCATGAGAATGCGTAGATGAAGTAGGTATCTTTGGGAATAAAGAAACTGAGAATATGAAAAGCCAGAATGTTCAATGAATTATTCCCATAAATTCTGATGTCTCTCACCAGGATCATGGGTGGAAAAAAAACAGAGAAGATTTTGACCATATCGTCATTTAATGAAGGCGAGTAGAGGAGAAAGAACAGTAACCGGGCGTGGCAGAAGATGATATGAGTGAATGACATGAACCTCAAAGAAGCCCCAGTCTTTGCTTATTTGTTTGTTTGTCTGTTTTTATAGGAAAGAACTGAAAATTGTATTTGAGGATAAAGACACTAAACTCACCAGGACGCCAAAGATAGAAGAGATATGAGAAAATAAATGACCCTCACTTAGTAGGAAGCATAATATTGTATCAGACATAAAAATAGGAATAATTAGAGCATCAGCTTCATTTGCATTTTATGGGCATTAAATGAAAAAGTGTATGTGCAAAATTTTTACTTCAAGGACTCCAGGTACCATGTAGTGAGAGCTTAACACACAGGAGCTGCCTTTGTTATCAAGATTCCTCATTAATACAACATATTCAGGATATAATTATTCAGAGCTAGTTTGCTCAGAGTACTTAGAGGCCTGTAAGCCCTTATAACAGTGATTCTGTCTTATAATAGTAATTATGCCCTCCAATGCCTTTTCCCAACATCGAAAATATCGCCATTTGAAATTACAACTTTTGCAAAGACTAAGTTAAGGTGATGTTTGCAGTGATGATGGCAGTAAAGAAAATAGTGTTAGTAGTGACTGTTACAGCAATTTTTTTTATTATTATTTCTTCAACAGAAATGTATTGAATGTCCACTGTCATAAAAAATATATGTAATCATTTATTCAAAAGCACATACTATGTTAATGTGACCAATGAAGAAAAACACTAGTGAGACGGCCCTTTAAAATAATGAGACTTATTTATTAACACACGTTTATTGACAGCACATTATATGCCAGGAACTATTTTAAGAATACAGTAGAAATCACTATCTAGTAGGAATGCAGACAGAGGTTATTTATGCAACAATAAATATATATAATTATAAATTATGATGTATAATAAAAGAAACACACAGTACTCTGAGATCAGAAAACAAATGACTTAATGTAATTAGAAGAACCTTTTCTAAGGAGATGAGGTTTGAACTGAGGTTTAAGATGAGTAGAAACAGCAAGAATATTGAACAGAGTTTGACCCAATAAAGAAAAAAGAAAAAAAGTTTTTAAAAAAATGGCAAGAATAAGGATAGGGAAAAGCATTTCTATCAGGAGGAGCCTGGACAAACAGGCTGGAGGGACCATATACATTTGAGGAAATAAAAAAGAACATTTATGTATATGAGGAATACATAACACTCAAACAATACTAATATATTTCAAGGATATACAAATACATAAGGACATACCACAAACACATTAGAGTGAGTGCCAAAGGTAGGAACTAGGAAGGAAATGAACAAGAGAGTAAGAAATGAAGACAGAAAATAAACAGAACAAGAATCAGAACAATAATCATTGTATGTAATAAGCTTGCAAGTATGATTAACTCAAAGTCTTGCAGCTGAGACTAAAAATGAAGAAATAAAACTACAGGTATCACAGAGGGCCATTCATCTCAAAAACAGAATGAAAAAGTACTGGGAATATAGAGAGGAAGCTTAATCTGCAATTCTAGGCAGATGGAGCACGAATATTTTAAAGCATTTCTCTCATAAGTTTGAACTCAAAATTATCTCCATGCTTTGCCACCCTTCTTTCTCTGAAGCTAAGTAGGTGGTAGAGAGGCCCATCTCTTCCTAGGGGCTGGCTGTGAGTGAGAGCTGCGGTGGTGGGAGGTGCCCCATTTTTTCATATGTCCAGCTCATCTCTTTTTGATCTCCTAAGACACTTGAATTCAGATCATCATATTACCTGATACATTTATCTTATCAACAGAAATAAATCATAAGCTTTCAGAAGCTATCACAAAAATTTCTTGCTTATTGATCAATTGAGATACCTCAGCCCTTCTTAGTTTTCCATCCTAATATATAAATACCACAGACCTCAGAAGAGATTTCCTAACTTCCAAACACCTAGGATAACTTTCCTTGCTTTCTTTTTACCCTCTCCACAAGGTAAACGACCTGGGCTATGGGGCTTCCACCCAGTGAGGGAGAGCCACCCTGCCCCTGAAGTCCAGCTGATGATAATTATACTGAGGCAGGCTCAATCCGCTTGGGGGTCAGAATCATCAACAGCCGCTCCTGGATCTGCTTGGTCTTGATGCCATAGACAAAGGGATCCAGTGCCGGGGGAAAGAGCAAGTAGAGATTGGCAAGGATGACCTTGGTAGCAGAGGCTGTGGGTGGTCCAAAGCGCTGCATGACCACAGAAAGAAAGCCTGGTCCATAGAAGAAGAGGATGACACAGACATGGGCTGTACATGTGCTGCCTGCTTTAGCACGTGCCTCAGGTGAAGGAAAATGCATTACAGTCCTCACAATCTGCCCATAAGAATAGGCAATAAAGGCCACATCCCCCACACCAAGAAAGATTGCCACAGCAAAGGCATAGAGGTTGTCCACCGTGGTGGCCCCACAGGCCAGCTTCACCACTGCCATATGCTCACAGTAGGTATAGGCAATTGTGTGTGAGCCACAGTAAGGCAGCCTATGGGCCAAGCTTGGAAAGGAGATGGTCAATACCACCCCTCGCAATACCACCAGGCCTCCAATCTTGGCAACAGCAACAGGTGTAAGGATGGTTGCGTAACGCAGTGGGTTACAAATGGCCACAAAGCGGTCCAGGGCCATGGCCACTAGCACCCCTGACTCCATGGCAGAAAATGCATGGATGAAGAACATCTGGGAAAGACAGGAATGGGAGCTGATGGCTGTAGCACCAAACCAGAAAATGGCCAGCATCTTAGGCAGTGTGGAGAGAGAGAGGACCAAGTCAACAAAGGAGAGCATGGCAAGAAAAAGAAACATGGACTGGTGAAGGCTGCGATCCGTCCGGATGAGAAAAAGCAGGACACCATTCCCAGTCAATGACAGGAAAAACATAAAGCAAAAGGGAAGTGAAATCCAAATGTGGGCAGAATTCAATTCTGGGATACCAGCCAAGAAGAAAGTACGTGGGAAGAGAACAGAATCATTGGGAAAAAACATGGTTATCATCTCACATGGAAGAACAAAGTGACATTGCAAAGAAAGGCAGGCTGGTGAAATTCAGTGATGTAGCAGTTGGGAGCTCAGGACATATGCTCTCACTGACATTATCACCACCACATCACTCTCCTCTACAGTTCTCGGAAAAGAATCAAAAATAATTTTCAGTTTAGTCAATATTTCTGCAAGGCCTTCAAACACCAAAGAAGAAAGTTAGTGGTAAATGCCTTGGGTGAGATTTGTCCAGTGGCGAATGCATCAGACAGGAAGTTCAGAAACCAGTTTCTATTACTAGATATTCTACAATATGTGTGACCTGGGGCAATACACATAAACAATACACATTAAGTAGATGCCCAGGGCTTGTTGTTGAATAAAAATCATCCCACTGAGCTCATATCTCCAAGTCCTGAAGTTAGGTGCTTGATTTAATCAATGCCGACCTCAAGTAGTTCCCCAGTCTTATCCCACTAAGCCTCATCTAAAATTGCCAAAAAAACTAACATCTGAAAAATCCCTTAATTTAGAGGTATCCCACTCTTCCAAGCTTCATTTGACTGTCAAGTTTACAGAATAATATATGGTACCTGATAACTCCAACACCGATCAGGCTCTTTCTTGGATATTCCTGCCCACTTCACTTGCTTCTCTACCAGATATCTCACTGGTTGTCTGCTTTACCACCTCCTGTATTTGCTGCTTTTTCAAGCTGGTGTTGTATAGGGATAGACATGAAGTTCAGCGTTGTGGTGACCTGTTAAAAACAAAAGCTCTTGGTAATAGCGATCATGTGAAAGCCAAAAATTCTATACCACAGCAACCTTACTGAGATCAGGAGAGACCTTGGCAGATGTGCCCTCCAGCTCCTCTTATCAGCTTATTGCACTAAGAGTATACAACATTATTATGTTCCTACCATACGTTACGTTCAATATACTCATTTTATTTATTAGAAAACTAAGGTCTGGAAAAAGGTGAATTTTCCAGGGTCATAGCTCTCTGTAGTGACAATATCAAACCACAGCCCACACCCATTGACCTCCAAGCTAGGAAGCCATTCTCCTATCTCTGTGTTAGCAGTGGCTATTGCAGAGCCAGGGAAGAAACTCCAGGGCCCCATGGCCAAAGGTAGGAAGTACAGAGTGATCAAATAATAGGGCAGACAAGGAATGATTTAGGGATCATGTGAATCCCCCAGTATCCCCAATACCTCAAGTACCACAATCCTCTCTGGTGAGAGACAAACAAAGGACTCAAAAATTTCTGGGTCCAGGGCCTGGGAGGGCCTTGGAATGTGAGACAAGTGATCACATTCTAGGCATAAAAGATGCAGCCAGGCTGGTCTTACAGCCTTAATAACACAAGAAGAGGCCTCTAAGTGTGAGGGAAAGGAGCAGAAGTCAGCCCAGAACATAGTCTAAGAAAGAAGAAATAATACAGGTCTAAAACAGCCAAGGAAATTTTGCTTTTCTCTCCAAGAGGACATATGGTTATTGCCCATATCTTCCACCACAGCTGCTGAGGAGACAGTAATGGCAACAGATGGTGAGAAGGTTCAGAAGATGTGAAATCTACATGGACCTATAGTTCTTTTGTCATAGAATAAACTCTATACGAGAAGTCAAGATCCTGGTTTCAGGTACTATTTCTGCCATATGTCTGCATGTGACCCTCAGCAAAGCATCTAACCATTTTCAAGCCTTAGTTTCTTCACATGTGAAAGGAATAAACTAAAATCTGCCTCACAAGATCATTGTGAAAAATGAAGGAGATATAATATGTGAAGATGTTTTGTCAAATGCTGAAAATATTATTACTAATAATATTTTCACTGAATTATAGGCAATAAGTAGTGCACTATGAGCAGTCTAGTTAAGAACAAGAGACATTTTTTAAATTCAGAGATAATGGAATTGATTTGACAAAGGTGACCAGATAGATGAATCCCATGGGTAGATAATGTATAGTAGTTAACTAAAGCAACCCAGTCAAAAACACTATATCCTCCCTCATGTTTCTCCCTTCATTCTTCCCAATAACACATTCTTTCTTTCAGCAACCCCACGGTGTGGTGTTAGGAGGAGGATGGGGAGTGTCAAGAAATGCAACTCTGATCACTTGAGCATCTGCTTCAAATTATCTTCAAGCAGCCCATCCTTAAGCCTCTGTCTTCAGAAAACGAATAGACAATTACATCTGATGTCCCAACTATCCCCTCAGGACCCAGAAAATGTCCCTCATTATATCCTAGTGCCTCAAGAAAAGTTTGACTGAGTAAGCTCAGCTTCTCTCCCTCCATCAGAGAATTAGGTAAAGGGAGGCAATGGGCCCAGGAATCAGGAGCTCAGGACTTAGCTGCTTTCAAAAATGTTTCCCTGTGATTCACCCCATAGACTTCAAAAAGGAGCAGACTTCCAAATAGCTTACTGATGACCCAGGACTAGAAGGATATTTGCCTGCTTTGAAGTGAAAAATTCCCATAAACCCAATCCCATCTTTCCTGTTTCACACAATACCAAAGGTCCAGATAAACTTCTGACAATGTATACAGCATTCCCGGTATTTCTGATTTTCCCTAGTGATGTGAAGAGCATGTAATTCTGCCTCAGACTGCCTGTGAAATTGTCCAGATCTAGGGAGGCTACAGATAAGTTAATATGTGAATGTCACCTGTATTTTATTTCTCTTCCTTGGGCCTACCCTTAGCCTTTACTTACCAAAGAGCTGCACTGATTGACCTACAGGGGAAGAGAAGTTAAGCCATTAGTCAGGTCCCAAGAACAAGGTATTTAATGGACATTTTTTCAAGCATTGTCTGTAGGGATCCAAGGTAAAGTTCCCACCACCTAGACACCAATTAGTACTTTTGCCTCCTCTTCAAACAAAGTTCTAACAAGATCTCATCCTCATATTAGGGCCTAAGGGAACAGCCCCAGCAGGGAATATTTTGAACAGCATACTCCAGGGTGCCTTGCCAAGGCCCTGAAGTGAGGAGGAACAAAAGGCTTCCTGTCGTGGGGAATGGCAAGGTAGCAGGCAGGATTCAATGCCAGAAGCTGGGCTCAGACACCAGACTAAATTGAGGACTAGCTAAAACAGGGATGGGGCAGACGCACTTTCCATAAGACATGCCCACTAGTGTGCCATGTTGGTTTACCATTGCCATGACAACACCCGGGAGTTATTACTCCTTTCCATGGCAATGACCCAATGACCCAGAAGTCACTACCCTTACCCAAAAAATTCCTGCATACACTTCTCCTTAATCTATATTAATTAAAAGTAGATATAGGGCAAGGTATGGTGGCTCATGCCTGTAATTCCAGCACTTTGGGAGGCCAAGGCAGGCAGAACATCTGAGGTCAGGAGTTTGAGACCAGCCTGGCCAACATGGTGAAATGCTGCCTCTACTAAAAATGCAAAAATTAGCCAGGTATGGTGGCACACACCTGTAGTCTTAGCTACTTGGGAGGCTGAGGCAGGAGAATCACTTTAACCCGGGAGGTGGAGTTTGCAGTGAGCTGAGATCATACCACTGAACTCCAGCCTGGAAGATAGAGCAAGACTTCATCTAAAAATAAATAAATAAATAAATAAATAAATAGGGAGGTATAAATGTGACCACAAAACTGCCCTGAGCTGCTACTCTCAGTATACTGCCTATGGATATCCCTGCTCTGCCAGAACAGCCACAGAGCTGTAATACTGCCAAAGCTGTAATACTGCCACTTCAATAGAGCCATTTTCTTCTACTGTACCACCAACTTGCCCTTGAATTTTTTCCTGGGAGAAGCCAAAAACCCTCACAGGCTGAGCCCCACTTTGGGGCTCACCTGCCCTGTGTCATTGGGACCACCCAGCTTGATGGCCCAGAAAAATCAGAAGAAAATCAGGATATCAAAGAAATGTTTGCACTCCTAATGTTTGTTGCAGCACTGTTTATAATAGCTAAGATTTGGAAGCAACATAAGTACCCATCAACAGAGAAATGGATAAAGAATATGTGGTGCATACACACATAGAGTACTATTCACCCCTAAAGAATGAGATCCTGTCATTGGCAACAACATAGAGGGAACTGGAGATTATTATGTTAAGTGAAATAACCCAGCAACAGAAAGACAAACATCACGTTTCTCACTTATTTGTGGAATCTAAAAGTCAAAACAATTAAATCCATGGTCACAGAAAGTACAAGGATGGTTACCAGAGCCTGGGAAGAGTAGTGGGGATTTGGGGGAAAGTTGAGGATGGTTAATGGGTACAAAAAAATAGAAAGACTGAATAAGGCCTACTATTTAATAGCACAACAGGGTGACTATAACCAATAATAATTATGTATTTGTAAATAAAGAATGTAATTGGATTTTTTGTAACTCAAAGGGTGAATGCTTGAGGGAATTGAGACCGTATTCTCCATGATGTGCTTATTTCACATTGCATGTCCCTATCAAAACATTTCATGTACCCCATAAATATATACACCTATTATGTACCCACAAAATTTTTTTAATATTAAAAATTTTTTAAAGAGAAAAAGTTAAAAAATAACAAATGCATAAAAGTGTATATAGTTCAGGATGCAGCCAGGTCTATGCATCTTCAGAATAATAATTCTTTATCCAAAAGACAGAGGTCAACACAAGCTGTATTGGAAGGGAACAACACAGGGTTCATTGGGACTAGTCAGTGTCCTGAATCAAGCATCCATTTGGGAGGGACATGTTCTAAGGGTGCTAACTCAGTTTTAAAAAGAATTAGATGACATAGCAGATGTTATTTCACGTAGACGCAAGATTGTGAACCCTAATATGTTTTGTGAAAGAGAAACCAACCTCAGTAACAGTGAATTTAGGACAAACGATACTACGTTAAATTTGAAACAGCAGGAGACCGGTATTATGAAGTAGCAAAACATCAGCCCAGAAACCCAATGGAGAAGGAAAGAGTAGGCAGGACAGGAAACAAGAGCAACAAAAAGATCAGTTAAAGAGACACAGAGGAGATAAACAGATAAACAGGAACTGAGGCCAAGAAAATAAAAGTCTTAGAACAGGGACATAGATTAGAGTGAATGAGGACCACATGACTGAAACTCATAATATTCTCCTAAAGTCAAACATTGCATCATCAAGAGATGAGGGCTGAAGTTTCAAACACAGTCAACAGTCCTGAGATCAATAATATAGACCAGAAAAATATTTTCTGAGTTCCTTTTAAGGTTCTGGAAAGAAATATAAAGATTTTAATCAGGGTCGGGTAGAAGATACTCATCAAACTAAGGCAAAATACTACCAAAGGGCAAAGAAGAGGTACGAGCAAAGCTCTGTGGCCACACCTTGGAGAGATGGAAACACCTTGGAGAGAGATCATCTAATTAAGTCTATGGAGACCATGAAAAGCTTCTCAAATGAGGCAACATTAGAGAGAAAAGTTGAAGGATAGCAATAGAATATTCCAGAATCACTCACTAGCATTAAAAGGAACACTAACACTTATAAAGTAAGGAATTCTTGATGAACATCTAAGAGATCAATGTTGAAAATTTGCATGTCAGCCTCTGCAAGATCAGGGAAATTTTCATAGATTATAGCACATATATTTTCCAAATTTGCTTACTCTCTCTCCTTCTCTCTCAAGAATGCAGGACAAGGAACAAGAGCAGGACAAGGACAATGAGTACTGTAGTAAGTTTGTTCTGTTTACATAATCGCATTTTCTCAGAGCTTTTGTTCATTATTTGAAATTC